CCTGAGGTCTGGAGGCGTTCCCCTCGAGTCCATCTGGCATCACGGCGGGGAAGTCCCGGTCCCTGCACAAGAAAACGGATGTGAAGAATTGGTTAAAGAGTTCCGCTTTCTCCTCTGGCGCAACCACCAGATTGCCCAGCGTACTTTGCAGGGGCCCCACATTACCCGGTGCCTTCTTCATCCTCCCTATGTATTTGAAAAAGGACTTTTTATTATCCTTGATCTTGGACGCTAGTCCTAGCTCTATGTCCGCCTTAGCTTTCCTGACAGCCCCCCCTACAGGCCCGAGCAGAGGAGGTATACTCTTGCAACCCTGCTGTGGGCCCTGCCAGTGCTGGCTCCAGGACACCGGTGCAGGCCCTGTGCTCCTGCCCAGCTGCTACTGCATTCCACACACCTACTCACTGCCACTCCCCCTCACCTGCTGCAGCCATTTCCCTGCTTTCCTACATGCTGCCACTATGGCTCCAGCACCACGTGGTTCCTGGATGCATGGCCATGACCACAGGACTCAGCAGGAGCCAGCCCAGCCCCAAGGCCTGGGGTGATTGTCCACAGTCCTCCTCTGCCCCCCGCCTTTCTTTTTTCCCCTCTCCAGCGCAGGGAGGCAGGAACAGCCCCAGGGTCCCAGGCCAGAAGCCTCTGGTAGGCAGAGGCTTCTCGTTGGGGGTGGGGTGGGAGGGTGCTGGGGTTGGAGCGGGGCTGGGCAGGCATTGCTGCTGGGCTCCTAGTTCCTGCCACTGGCTTTCCCTGTGTCCTACTGCCCCTGGCTCCTGTCATCTTTGACAGGCATCCAGGGGCAGATAAACATTACATTTTCTAAATTTTTTAGGGACCCCGCAGGCTGGATAGAATGGCTTGGAAGGCTGAATCCTTTTAAAGGTGTTACGTAGATTTCTGTTGAGTATGAGGATGGTGAGGTCAAAGACAGTGGTTGTTCTGTGAGAGATGCTTCTAAGGGTGTATCTGTTCTTATTTTTTCTGTGCAAGTTCATTCTGGGGCAGAGTTACTCTTTAGTTTCACTCACGTAGTAGCCATGAGGGCATTTGGTAGATTGGATCATGTACATCCCATTTTGAAAAGGCATGTATAGGAACCCTGGATTGTACTGATTTTGCTATGTGAGGTATTGACTGCAGTAGCAGCAGAGATATGGTGACAGGTTAAGCATTTCTTGTTAAGATAAAGCTGTAACGCACTTGATGCCTGTTGGGCAGTTAGGAGTATGCTTCTCATGATGAGCTGCGCAAGGTCAGGCAGTTGTTTGAAGCCAGGAGTAAAAGGGCTGGGAATATTTTTCTTAGGAGAGTACAGGTATTCCAGAATGAGATAGTGGGTGTTGTGATAAGTTGATGATGCTGGTATTCTGAGTCCTAAGAAATCCTTGCCTCTCACAAACTAAAGAGGGGAATTCTCCATGTAAATGCATCATACTAATGAACTGTGCCTTTATTGCAGGTTGTTGTTCCAGTAGTTAAAACTTGTTCAGGTTTGAGAAATTAGAGATAAAAAGTAGATGAAGAAACATGTTTATACACATCCATTATAACATTATATATTGTAAATATTATTTGTATGGCTTAGGGTGAATAAGTTTTTCAATCAGGAATGCCGAATGAACTCAGAAAAACATCAGATATGGTTGTAAAAGTGCATACATTTCCAGCATATACACATATTCTATTTGCTACAA